ACTGCCTCGGAAACCCAAGGAGGGGTCGCTATGAGTCGGGGCCCACTCGAGGGCAAAATAACAACACAACAGGAGAGAGGTCAGGTGGCACAAAACAGTCTGTAACTCCATCATCCATCCAGGATGCTGAGGCCAGGAACCTCCTCTCCCCACTCCTACAGCTAATTGCTCTCAGCCTCCAACTGTTTAGATGCTGATACCTCTCAGTCACAACCTCCTCCATCTCAGTTGAGACCCCATTATTTCATACCTGGTTTTCCTATTGAAAGAAAGGAAAAAAAAAAAAAAACAGATCTTGCCTCTATAGCCATCCTTTTATAATTCATGATGTACCTGTCACTCTTCTGCTAAAATGATCTTCTATCCTTCCTTCAGGAGGCAGGAGGCAATTGGGTTACTTACCCTGGTCTAAAGAGCTTTTGCCAGGGTCACCTGCCAACACCCTCTGTCCTATTCTTTGCCATGCCTCTTCTACTCCAGCTCTGAAGAGCCACCGGCAGTTTCTAAACCAGTCCCTGAGGTTTCTCCTTTTTGGGATTTTGCAGATGACATTATCTGCTAGAAACACCCTTCCCTCCTTTCACCTGGGTAAGCCCTCTTGTCTTTCAAGACTTGGTTCAGTTTCAGAGAAAGACATGGAAAGCTTGGCCATTTCTAGGAAATGTTTCTTCACCTTCTCCTCACCCCACCCCAACCCCAACCTATTTTAATAGTGCCATTTTATTAGTGGCTTTCATTGTCCTATATTGTAATCACATGTTTACATGACTCTCTTTAAATATCCCCAAATTCCTCCAGAGCAGGGACTGTATCTCCTTTTTTATTCTGTGTTGTTCGTTCTTTGTTTGGGTTGGGTTGGGTTTGTTTGTTTGTTTTAAATAAACGATAAGGTACAGAGGGCAATTTAACAAACATACATGTATCCATCACACAGATTAAACATTTGCTAGCATTTTGTCATATATGCTTCAAATTGTTTTGTTCTTAAAGAAATAAAATACTATGGATTCCACTGAAGCTCCATCTATAGTCCTACTCAGCCCCATTCCCTACTCTTATCCTGTTGTTGTTGTTGTTAAGTGCCATTGAGTCGTTTCTGACTCATAGCGACCCCATGCACAGCAGAACGAAACACTGCCCGATCCCGCGCCAGCC